TCTCCCTTCCTCTTCTCTTCTTAGTTCTTTCTAACTTCCACGTCCGGACACATGGAGAGTTTAGCAAACAGCATCCACAGGAACTCACTCTTGCACCTGTGCCGGCTCCATCCTCGGGGCAGCACTAACCACAGCCTCTCTGGTCCTCACACCCCTGCTCCTCTGCCAGCTCTTGGACCTGCCAGCTCAGGCCAGCACCACCTCCACCGTGTGTTCCCTGCTCTCTGCTTCCTGCTCCCTCTCGTCCTGTCTGACTTACTCCCTGTGACCACTTGATGTTTCAAAATTAACATCATGTATAAAATCTACCAACAGCTCCCCCGAGACTGGGGAGCAAAGTCTCCTGGGCACAGTGTGGACACTCTACTCATCAGGCCTGTTTCTTCTCCTGGTTGCATCTCACATCTCACCACCCCGTCGGCCCAGGAGCCCAGATGTCAGCATTAACCTCCCTGGTTGTTAGGGGCTTCTAATGAGACTTAGCTCTGAATGAGGGAAATGTAATAAAATACAGACTTCTGTCTCTTACAATGTATCCATATTTATTAATTGCAATAATTCTGTAAAAGAAATGTAAGGAGAGGAGAAACTAAGAGTCAAATAAAACAAACCTATTGCATCAAATAGGATAACTAGAGAAAGTGGGTGATTCCCTAGTAAAACTTCACATGAATAAAATGGACCCTGAAATGAGGAAACTACAAACAGATAAACTACCCTCCAGGCATCGCCTTCCCCTGCTGACTGTCCTCTCGTCGTCGTTCTGGGTTTTCCCTCTCCTGGGAGAGGAAGGAAATAGGGACAGAGCTGTTCGCAGCTCCCCTAAGATCTGTCCCCAGTAAATGCCTGCATCCCCCCACTGCCCCACCCCTGCTGTGTCCACCAAGTGAGGACACTGTGGGAAGGGAGTCTCAGACGACGACTGAGTCTAGTGTGTCACCTAAGACCATTGGATTGCAAGAGACTGAACACACTTACTAAAACAAAGTACGTTAATAATTTTTCAGTTGCAGAAATAAAGGCACACATGCAGTCTAAGAGGGGGCTTGGATGAGGCGGATGCAGGCCCTGACACTCACAGTGGGACCAGGTCCCTCACCAGCCCTCTCCCGACAGGTGCTGCTCCTGCTGCGAGCTGCCCTATGGAGAGTGAACACGGGAGGCCTCCAGCCAACAGCCACGGAGAAGCTGAGGTGCTCAAACGAACATGTCCTGAACACCAGCCACAGGAACGAGCCTGGGAGCAGACCCTCCTGCTGTGTGTGGAGCAGCTCTGTCCCTGCAAATTCCCAGGCTGGAACCTGTGCCCATGTGGTGCATTAGGGAGCAGGGCTGCTGGGAGGACATTCATCCGCGAAGGTGAAGCCCTCATGAAGGAACAAAATCAGTGCCCAGAGATACCAGGAATCCTCCCTCGTGGAGGGCACCTACCTGGAGCAGATGCACGGGAGCCCAGCAGACGGGTCGGGATGATCACTTCTCCACCAACATGCCTGTGGTTCCGTCACTGTGTGGCCCTCAACAGTCCCGAGGGGCAGGAAAGAAAGTGGCGCCTGCTCCGCCCCAGGACAGAGACTGAGGCCACAGGGAGGGGGTGAGGGGCCCTCACCCCTCATCCCTTCTACTTTCACCACACACACAGCTACCACACCTGGATTTTTCCAAACTTTTACTTTTTCCAAGCTGCCCCTGAGAACAATTGTCGATCCTCCTGTATAAAAATAGAGATTTTTGTTAAGAAAATAAAACTCCATTGCTTTTCTGTCATGTGAGGTTAGAGGAAAAAGGTCAGGCTGGGAACAGACCTCAGACACGGACTCTGCTGGTGCCGTGGTGGCCTTCCAGCCTGAGCTTGTGATGAAAATTCCTGTGGATAAGCCCCAAGGTCTGGGGCAGCTGTAGCCACGTCTCGGGGGCCTGGGGGACTGGAATCCACCCCAGGCTAACCACTTTCTGCACTTCTCTGTTCCCCACACAAGCTCACATAGGGATCGTAAAGGAGGTGGGGCCTCAGGTCATGAAGGTAGAGTCAGGGCCTCAAAATCTGAAGTCCTGATCCTGACCCTCAGACCCAGATGACCATAGACCCTAACACCTGACCCTGCTCTGACCCTGACCCTAAATCCCAGTCCTAAACCCTGGCCCTGACCCCAAACCAACCCCAACCCTCAAGCCTCACCCACTTTACTGCCAGTAAGATGTGTCACCAGAACTTAATTATCTTCCAACATTTCACAGCATAGAAACGTTGTGCCAAAAACCTAACCACAGACACTCTCATATACCAAATTTAAGCAATAAAAGAAAGTGAATGAAAACACATTCTAAGAAAGAAAAGAAAATTTATTGTTTAGGTTTTTTTGGGAGAAGGGATGTAGTTAAGACTTTCTATCCCGCAGATGAAACAGAAGCAATACTAAGAAGGCTAAAACAGCTTAACTACCTTTATTGATATCTTGTAGTTATCCGGGCATATCAGCTCCTTTATATCTGTTTCAAATTTCTTACATGAAAGCTCTGGAAGTTTCACACCAGCAAAAGCATTTTCACACACACAGTTGATTTTTACATTACACACTTAATATATATTTGATCTTTGTTCTGTACATCTCTGTGGCTTTACTACTTTCAGGACAAAAATCACATATAAAAATACAGATGACTCTGAACACAGAAGCCACGGCCGTCCAGACTGTGGCTCCCACTCAGACCGCACTGGATGCTCCTGTTTGGAAACACTGCAGTCACACTGACCCTGTGATGCGGTTCCCGGACACCTCCTCACAGTGCTCCTTCCTGCTGACAAGAGAGACACCGAGCTAGTTCACGTGTGTTATATCTTCCTATTTTCAACCAAATTCTGGTTTTAAAATGACAATTGAGAACATGTAAATTCAAACTGTTAATGCATATATGGGAAAAACATGTCTTACGCATTGCCTTTTTATAAGGCAAAGATGGTTTAAAATAAATGAAAGCCATTGAAAATCATAGGGGAACAAATTTAGTCAGGCAACATAATACAACAGATTGACAGGTGTCCTTTGTTCAATAGTATATGTGGAGATGTCCACAGATCACAGAGGCTGCTACAGATGGATTATAATAACGCCCAACACGCAGTGTAGCACACACCATGCTCCTCTCTCTGCAGGATGCTGCCTGCCTCATTAGAGGAAGTACCCACAACCAGGACAAGCCCCCTTTACAACAGATTGAAGTTACAAATCGAGGATGAGATACGTTTTCCCACTACACACGCACACAGCATCCGGTGACAAAGATGATTCAGTGACTACAAACAGCAACAAGGTAGCAAAATAACTGGGTTGTCATTAGTTAACTGGTTGAAACCACAGAGACACTGAACCTCAACAAAACCCAAGAGGCTAAGGGATAATCCTAACGTCTGAGTGAGAAAGCACTCTGAGCTTGGGCTTACTGTTAACATTTAATACTAGTCTTTTCTTTGGGTAAAACATAAATGTGGAGGAAAACCAATGTTTTGAAATATCAGGTGTAACTTCAAAACATTTCCGCCACCACCAAGCCCCTTTCCTTCTGGACCAGACCCCGATGGGACAGGAAGCTCCTCCCACAGGAGCCCAGACGGCTCCCCGAGACTGAAACTGCTGTCACAGTGCAGCCAGCAAAACACATGCATTTGTTCTTGAGAAAATGTACAAAACTCCCAAATCCTCTTCAGAATTACAAAGGATAAAATCTATGAATCAGTGCTCTAATGTGATTACAGAAAATACCAACTGATGTTAAGACAAAAAGCACAGGCCCCCTCCAAGAGTCCTGAGTCCAGCCCAGCCTGAGTCCCTCCCCCTGCCTACTGAGGACCAACAGGTCAGTCCTCAGACACCCACAGTCCCACTGAAGGACCAGAATGATCCCCGTCATTGGGTAAAACTTACGTGGTGTATTACCTGCACAAAACACTCATTTTCTTCTTCAGGATATTCTTCCAAGGATTACTAGATATTGGTTCTTTTATTTTTCATTGATTGACTGATTGATTTGTTGTTCCACTTATTTATGCATTCATTGGTTGATTCTATATGTGCCCTGACCAGAGATTGAACCCCAAACCTTGGAGTCTCAATCCGACGTTCTAGCCAACAGTGCTACCCATACAGGGTGACATTAATTCTTTTAAAGGTAATAAAAGGCATCAGAGAAAAAAAAATCACTTGGAATTCTTTTGGAATTCCTAAAAAATATCTTGCAGTTTGATACTTTTGTTCCTCCTTCCCCTACACAAAAAAAAAAACCTACACTGACAACCCCCATAAGAGTGACTTCCATTACTTACATTAAGGGTGGCTTTTCAGGAAAAGTTCCCTCTTTAAAACTACAAGCTCTAGTGAGTCAGGGCCAGGAATTAAGAGGTTAATAACATAATGTACAAACCTGGACCTGGGGGTGTCACACCCAGAAACAATTTACAGGTTCATGACCTTGTGCTTCCCGCTCACGTTCCATCCACAGCCCAACCCCCGCCCGGCCGGGTCACCTGGACCAGTTTCACTGCTACTCAGACGCCTCTACCTGTGTCACAGGAACTGGAAGTAAACCCTTCTCTGGGACACTCTCTCTTTCGAGAAAACATTCTCCCTTGCACTTACGTTTGTCAGATTATATTTTTAAAAATCTACCATTTAATGAAAATTCTACCAGACAATCGAGATCAAACTGGAAGAAACATGTGGACGGGCGCCCTCTGCTGGCCGCAGGCTGCGCCGCCCGCCCTCACTTCTCCCTGTAGTAGAGCAGGTGGTAGTTCAGGGGTCAGGCAGGGGCAGACGCAGGACCTTCTCCCTCAGAAAGTTCACCGGAAGGGGGGCTCTGGCTTCTCTCAGCCGGGCTCTGCCCCTCCTCTTCCTGCTGCTCCTCTTCTAAACCTTCACAGCTGCTGTCCTCTGACGGGTTGGAAATCCGACTGGCAAAGACCTCTTTGTCCAAACAATGGTTTCCATTTACCAGGGGTGAACTCTCCTCCACTTGAACCTGGGAGTGGTCTTCAGTCCGTCCCAGTTCTGCTCACTGCTTCCTGGTGAATGACCTTCTTCATGGGGCCCCGGATGGCGATGCGAGCCAAGTCCTGGAGGCCGCGGACGGCCAGGGGGCTGCAGGGCAAAGGACAGGATCAGTGTCTGCGACAGCACAGGCCTCAGCAACCGAAAACTGCGTCTTGACAACACAGCCCAGGACGGGAGCTCATTGCAGAAGGCTCTCTAAGCACATCACCCTGAGCTCTGACAAGGAAGGGAAGCTCCCTGCTGCTGGTGACTCAGCAGCGACAGCCTGGCTCCTCTCCTCCCGTCGTCACCTGGCTCCTCACTCTGGTCTCTGTGTCCATGCACAGCCCTTCCGTCCAGTGCACCCAACACTCCCCTGGCCACTTCACTGTTTCCAACATGCTTTACGGGATAAATGTTTTCTTTCTGTGAAAGTGAAGTGGATCACAGCATCTTAAGGAACAAAACTACACAGCACACCCAAGAAAAGTAAAACCTGGCAATTACAATTCCATTTAATGCAGGCCCTGCACGAGGACGTGAGGGATTCTCTCAAAGGGCAAGGAACTAGGGGGTTGAGTGTTTCAATACATTAAACTCAGAATCAGCATCTTTTTCCCCCTCCAGTACCTAAGTACTGTAAAAATCACAACCCACAGTAGGGTGCTGTAACATTTATTTCCCAAATTGGAGAGGCCTGTGCAGAATCTCAGCAAATGCCCACTGGTTTAGGGGAGCCCTGGAAACTCCAGTGACCTCAAGCTCTCTGTACCTTCTCTACATTGTCAACACCAACTCTTTGGTCTTCTCACTGTCCTCCTCCTCCAGGAAGGGCTCCAGGGCTCACCCTGCCACTCCACAAGCTTCTGCTCCTAAGGCAGCTAGAAGGAGTCCTGCACAGGCCACCAGATCTCCCCCTGCACAGGGGCCACGTGGGGAGGAGCCTGCTCCCGGCAGCCTGAGGCCCTCACTGGCTGCTTTCCCACCCAGCCCCAGTGGCCTTTCCTAAGGCTGTGATTCCACCCTCTCTCCTCCCCTGTCTATTTTTGGATCTGACACTTGCTCTGTGGCTTCAGTGAAATGGGCCAGGGGCACCCAGGGCTCTAACCCAGCCCTGACCAGGGTCCGGAGCCTCCCACAAGCCCACGTCTACAACATCCTCTGACGCCCTTCCTCAGAGAGGCCCCAGGTGCCTCCAGGAGTCCTTTCCTGGGGCCAGGCTCTAACTTTCCATCTTCATCTTGAGCCTGTAAAATTCAACTTGCCTCCTGACTGGTTCCTGCATGCACTATCCATGGGACGCCCACTGACAACTGACCCCGTCTACACCCGCTCGACCTCACTGTCTGCACCAATGTGACATCACTCACCTACTGTGGTTCATTTCATGAGCCTAAACACCATCACAGGATTATTTACCATCCAACACACTGGGAAGCCATGGCCTCAAACACCACATCCCAGGGTGCCCTCCAGGGGATAATGACTCCCATCCAGACACGATCAACCTCCCAGACATCTGACAGGACCCTCACCTCTGACACTGTCCTAAGGCTCTGGAAGGTGATACCTTCCCTGACCGCAGTCAGCATCTGCTCAGTTTTTCTGTGGGATTCTCGGGGAGCACATTCAGTGCACACCTCCACCTGGGCAGAGGGTGATCCTGAGTGAAAACGCACCACCTCACATCAGAAACACTGGGCAGCTCTCTGTGGACCATGCAGCAAACTCCAGCCTACCCTGTGGACTGTGCAGGGTCTCCCACACGCTGCCTCTGAGCACCTAGAAGTCCACACATCACAGTCCCAGCTCAGATCCTTCCCTCCCTCTCTTCTCTCTGTAGGGAATTTCTCTCAAACATCTCACCCTCTACAAACTTAATGCCTTGCAGTCCCTTCTACTTTCCACAGATGCTCATGTTCACAGTTCATCACATTTCAATGACCATGTCAGCCTCACATGACCTGCACTTAGCAGAAACCGAGAAAGTCACTGTTTCATAAATGATTCCTCTCATACATTAAAATACAATCCAGAAGTAATTCACTAGAATGGTTTTACTTTAAATGAAGACTTTTGCAATTCTCCTTGCTGTGTGTATTTTTATTGAAATTAGGAAACTACATTTACAAGAATGCTTAGCTCTTCACTGGATCTACACCCTGACAGAGTGAAAGGCACAGGCCTGGCCCAGGAAGGCCCCACTGCAGGCCTGCCCACCCCACCCCCACAGGCAAGTGGAGTGGCCATCAGCTGCCCCAGAGCAGAGGGATCTGGGATCTGCAGGAGCATCATGGCCAGAGGTGCCTGGGACATACTCTCCACAAGGCAGAATTAACTACCTTCTATGTGGCTCTTCTGCTTCCCATGGCATCACCAGCTGCAGGTGTCTGAAGATTTTAAAACAAGGCTAAAATAATCTGCAATATGCTGGAAATGGATTTTAACTTTTTAAAAATAATTTTATTGATTTTTTAGAGAAAGAGGAAGGGAGAGAGAAAGGTGAGATGAAAAATTTCAATGTGAGAGAGAACATTCCAAATGCTGCCTCCTGCATGCCCCCTACTGGGGATCAAGCCCACAACCCGGGCATGTGCCCTGACTGGGAATCAAACCCAGACCTCTCAGTCTGTGGGACGTTGCTCCATCCACTGAGCCACACCAGCTGGGTAGATTCTAATCTTTAAATTGCCTAAAAATCACTTGGAAAATTTTATGGCTACAGTAGGTTGAAAATGCCTTTGAAGACATTGAAAGACCTGAGCAGCGAGTCAGGGTTCCCATACTCACGCAACTGGACAAGCCTCAACTTCCTCGACTCTGAGTGACACGGCTGGACCAGAGGCGCAAAGGACACAGCCAGGATCTTGTTTCCCAAACGGAAGGGCCTGTGCGGGTTATCTTAGTCAACTATCCCCAAGACAAGATGAGAACATTCAGAAGATTTTGCTACTGGTAAGTTAAATGTAGACATTATCATTCCTTCATATCATCTACAAACACACTGAGACAGGAATCACGAAATAGCCTGACAGTACTGGCCCCTAAGATGAGTGGAATGAACTACACATGACTCATTCATTATGTGAATATGTTTAAACTGAACATATTCAAGCTTCTAAACTTCATTTTTGTTTACAGGAGATGTCTATGACAGCGGCAGGCATTGAAAGAAAATGAGAGGAAACACTCAGACGAGGAGCATAGGTCCAACAAGACACTCTGCCCTGTGGGGGACAGCAGAAAACACTTCCAAGTGATGAATCACAGGACACACCCACCAGAATGCATCCTGGCTGGTCAGACACCCTAATGGCAGGTGGGAACCTATAAACAACAGCAAACAAAAGCTACTATGACACAACAGCAGCTACTTTCAAGGAGATCGGGGCTTATTGTCACTCTGGAAAAACACACACTGAAGTATTCCAATGTTATTCCCAGTGGCACTGTTCCAGGACATCTGGAGTCCACTGGTTAACACACTGCAGTGGAGGTCTCACAGAAGAGAACAAAAAATACAAAGAGAATCAGGAGTGAGTACAGAGCACACAAAATGAAGGGAATCAGAAAAGAGAGTAAAGAGTGCAGAATACAAAGACAATCAAGAGAGAGGAGAGAACACAGAAAATAAAAAAATAGTAGAGAGAGAAGAAAACGCAGAAAATGGAGAGAATCATGAGAGAGGGGAGAAAACAGAAAAAATCAGGACAAGGAGGAGAGAATGAAAGAAATAAAGAAAATCAAGAGACAGAGAGCACAGAACGCAGAAAATTACAAGAGAGAGAAGACAATGCAGAAAATCAGGAGAAAAAAGACGAAGCATAAAATGCAGAGTCAAGAGATAGAGAACACAGAAAAAAGAGAGATTCAGGAGAGAGGAGAGAAAAAAGAAAACAAAAAGGATTATGACATAGAGGAGAAGACACAGAAAACAGAGAAACTGGAGAGAGAGCAGAGAATGCAAAAAAAAAATGGAGAGAATTAGGAGAGAGAGCAGAAAATGAAGAAAATTGAGAGTTTCAGGAAAATAAGAAAACAATGCAGAAAACAAAGAGAATGAGGAGAAAGAGGAGACAATGGAGAAAATACAGAGAATTAAAAGATAGACGAGAGAATGCAGAAAAAAAAGTTAATCAGGAGGGAGGAGAAAGAACTCAGATAACAAAGAGAATTAAGAGATAGAGGAGAGAATGCAGAAAATAAAGAATTTCAGGAGAGAGAAGAGAAAACAAAGAGATTCAGAATAGAAAAGAAAGATCACAGAAAATGGAGAGAATCAGGAGAGAGAGGAGAGAATGCATAAAATAGAGAGAATCAGAGAACTCAGATAATGGAAAGAATTAGAAGAGAGGAGAAAAGGAAAAATAAAAAACAGAATATCAGGCGAGAGTGAGGAGAACATAGGAAGCAGAGAGAATCTGGAGAGAGCGCAGAAAATTGAAAAATTCAGGAGAGAAAAGAGAACAGAGAAAATCAATGCAAATAACAGAAAGAATTAAGAGAGAAAGGAGAGAATGTAGAAAACAGAGAGATTCAGGAGAGAGAGGAGAAAACGCAGGAAACAGAGAGAATCAGAAGAGAAGAGAACACAGAAAACGGACAAAATCTCGAGTTAGAGGAGAGAATGCAGATAATGGAGAGAATCAGGGTCATATGGGTGGCAGCCACTTGATGTCTCTCTCACATCAATGTTTCTTTCTCTTTCTCCCTCCATTCTATCTGAAGATGAATGCAAAAATGTTCTTGGATGAGGATTTTAAAAATGAAAGAAAACGAAGAGAATCAGGAGATAGAGAAGAGAACACAGAAAACAAAGTAAATAAGAAGAAAGAAAAAGAACCCAGAAAATGGAGAAAAATCAAAAAAAATTCACAAGAGAGGAAAAAGAATGCAGAAAATCAAGAGAGAGGGAAGAGAATGCATAACATGGAGAGAATCACGAGAGAGAGATGTGAATGCAGAAAATGAGCAAATCAGGAGAAAGATAGACGATCACAGAAAATGGTGAGAATTGGGAGTAACTGAAGAAAAAATTTAAAAATGGAGAGAATCAGGAGAGAGTAAAGAGAATTCAGAAAATGAAGAGAATCAGGAAGATGGTGGCA